TTCTTCTTGATGCAGGTGCGCAGCGGCTTCTTCCACCGAAGGTCCGCTATGGCGGACTTTCTCCTCAAGCGGCCACCTCAGCTATGGCGCCTACACACGACCGCGCGTGGAACAGCGGGTACCAGCTCCGATACCAGTGCAATCATACTCGACTTATTCACACTTCATCATGCTTGCAAACAGTGATACAGCGAACTGGCGACATGCGCCCACACAGTACTCAAAGATACCGTAACCAGATATGAGTTCTCTTCCAACTGGCTATGGCGACTGTGCGCCCATACGACTCACTGTTCACACTCCAGATCACCCTGGATGTCCCACATGCAACGCTCAATGTTCATACACAACACACACACACTAGGCTATGGCTATGGCAGCGCTAGCTGCCACTACCCTATCGCTACACTACACTTCTCTGCCCACTTCGTCTTCAGGCACACTGCAGACCTCCTCGCACAAGCTGCTGAGGCAGCGCTTCCACATGGCATCCGCAGGAATGAATGAATGGCTGGACGCAGCCTCTTGATTTATACTTCTGTGCGGCGTTGGTCTGCCCTGTATCCCTTGGCCCACGATGTGCACAGTCCCAGACGGTACCTGCTTGACTGGACCGGACTGGGCCCTGGGACTGCTGACTCTACGTAGTGGACCTACACCACTTGCCCACTTGCCTCCGCCTAAACAGGGGCTGACTCCGAAAGGCCAGTTCTAGAAACTTCTACTTTGGCCTTTCGGTACTGTAGCAGCTACGACTTTGCCCTTTCAGGTAAGTAGCAGCTACGACCTTGACCCTTCAGACATCCTACAGCTACGACTTCGGAACTGTCTAGACTCCTACCCTACAGGTCTACAGTTCGATTCCCTTCTAAGCTGTGACCTACGACAATCTACCTACCACTGGCGTTTCGACAGGTCGCAGGTTCAAATCTACGGGTTGTCATCCATACTGTACACAGGTAAGATGGGGAACTAGGGATCGAGCCCTGGGATCTGCATTTGCTACTGCGAACTGGTGAATACCGTTTCAAATACGAAAAATATGAAGAAATTCAAGAGGAAAAGGAAAAAAATACGACAAATAAGCAACAGAAAGTTAGAAACATCAAAAAAAATATTTAAGAAAAATATCGGCATTTAATAACTACTGAGGTTCAATCTCAAGAAATCCAAGGGAGGGGGGGAAAAAAAAAAAAAACGACAAATAACTTGAAATAACTTGAAATCAGCAGAAAGACAAAAACAAAAAAAAATCAAGGGAGGAGAAAAAAACAAAACGCTAAATAGCTTGGAATAAGCAGAAAGACAAAAACAAAACAAAACAAAACAAAACAAAAATGGCATTCAATGCCGGAGGATGAGTAATACGAAAAATCTGAGGAAATTCAAGAGAGGGGGAAGAGAGAGGGGGGGAGGGGGGGAGAGGGGGCGGGGGAAGATATGTGGAAACAACAAATAAGCAACAGGGACGGAAAAACAAGGTGTGGGAGGAGGGGGGGCGAAAAAAGAAAAAGAAAAAGAAAAAAAAAAAAAAGAAAAAAAAAAGAAGCAGAAGCACAGTAATTCTACTGTTGCAAAGAACGATGACCACCATTTTCATACCAAACACGGCTGGACACACACACTACCGTCTTCACCCAAATAGAACGCTAGGTCATTATAGCTGTATTTAGGGCACCATTCAGTCCAGATGCAGCTATAATGAGGGGCCGTTCTATTGGGATGAAGACGGTGGGAAGCTTTCAATTATATGTCTACTACCCAAGGGGGAGCGATCTGACTAGAGATGGGTTACAATGGGGTATCCAGTGGGGTGTATAATGGGTGGGTTGTATTAAATGGGGCAGTTTTACCCGCCCGAACGTTGGGGGGGAGGATCGGGCCGGGGTTCAGGTCCTGCCCGGCCACTAATTTGGGGCCCGCCAACCCCCCTTCCGGGGCCTACTTTTTCCCCTTTTTCCCCATCAAACCCCATTTACGTGCATGGAGTCGGAAGCAGACAGGATTGGATAGTCGGGTTGGTGGGGGGTCCGCCAAACCCCATTCGAGGGCATTTTTTCCCCCTTTTTTCCGCCACCGCCAAACCCCATTTACGTACATGGAGTCGGAAGCAGAGAGGGTTGGATGACAGGTTGAGCGCTGGCTGGCCCCATCCCCCCCGTGTGTCACAAGGACCCACTTGCACGCAGCCAAAAGGCAAAAAAAAACGTAAAGAAAAGGAGGAAATCAAACCTCGCCGAGGCAAGAGAAAGAGAAAGGACTCCATAATGGGGTATATGGCGAGGTGTATAAAAGGGTGTATAAAGGGGTATATATTGGGGTATATTGGGGTATATTAGGGTATATGGCGAGGTGTATAAAAGGGTGTATAAAGGGGTGTATAAAGGGGTGTATAAAGGGGTATATGATGGGGTAGATAACGGGGAAGATGATGGGGTAGATAATGGGGTAGATAACGGGGTAGACAAGGGGGTAGATAAGGGGATAGATAAGGGGGTAGATAAGGGTACAAGGGGGAACGGGATGGGTGAACAGCACATACTATTGTTGCAAAAAACAGTAATTATTTTTTCATTACAAATAATACTGCAAAATCACTACTGTGCTCACCCGAATACAACGCCCGGTCATTATACCTGTATGTATTTGGGACAACTTTGAATCTAGATACAGCAATAATGCCCGCACGTTCTATTCGGATGAACACAGTAGGAACCCTTCAATTACGGATCTGGAAGGGAATCTGACCAAGGATGAGTATAATAGGGTATATGATTGGGTATATAATGGGGTATAGAGTGGGGTGGGTATATAGTGGGTGGGGGTGGGTATATAATGAGGTATATAATGGGTGGGGGTGGGTATATAATGGGGTATATAATGGGTGGGGGTGGGTATACAATGGGGTATATAATGGGGTATATAATGGGGTATACTGGGGAGCGGTCTAATCAAAGAACGGGATGGCTGAACATCAGATATTGATTATTATCACTGCGAAAAGCACTAATTAGTAATTACCAAGGCTACCAGAGTGGCCCGGGACAACTTGCCCGGCAGGGGCAAAAAAAAAAAAAAACTTGAAAAACAAAAATTAAATTATTTATTTTATTTTTTATTTTTTCAAACTGAATAAAGAATTTCGATGTGACCCTGAGGACATTGAGAGTCCCGCTGGCAGTAGACTGGCACTTGTGCAGTAGAGTACCACTGCACTGCGGACTTGTAATAGAGTCCCTCAGGAGTAAGGGAGGAGGAGAGGAGGAGGAGAGGAGAAGAGGAGGAGAGTGGGAGATACGAGTTAAGAAGGGAGAGAGAAGATAAGAAGGGAGATGGTAGATAGTGAGGGAGATGAGCGCGGTTTAGAAGAGGGGGAACAAACGACGAGGGGAGAGAGCACATAGGTGGGCGCGCGCGCGCGCGAGAGAGAGAGAGAGAGGTAGGTGATAGGAGATAGGAGATCGGGATAGCAGATCAACCAGATTTAGACGCGAAGCGAGGGGGGCGGGGAGGGAAGACGACGAGAGAGAAAGGAGATAGGAGAGAGAGAGAGAGAGAGAAAGAACCGGATATAGGAGAGAGAGAGAGAGAACCGGATATAGGAGATAGGCGATAGGAGATAGGAGATAGGAGATAGGAGGGGAGATAGGA